AGCGGGTGGGCCAGGAGAGGTCTGGCTCGCCATGTGGTCTCCTCCGGGGCAGGTGGCAGGCGGGAATCGAACTCATGCGGAAGTGGCTTCAGATTTTCAGTGCTGCGCTTTAACCCGCTGCGCCACCAGGGAGGGCCATGAATTGTGGGCTTTTTATTTTATTTTGATTCCCAGGGCTCCTTCCCCTTTTCCTTGAAATCTTTCACCCCTGGCTCACTGTCACTCTCTATAACACATGGTATTCATCTTGGTTATTTTAATTTCCACATAGAAATGAAAATGTTCCAATATGCGATATTCTCAGAATTCATTGATTCACCACTTTTCCAATGATCTCAGGCATTTATTCCCATGGTCATATCCCAAATACTACCATTACCCATAATTTACATCCTGTTGTCCAAATTCCAAATTCACTGAATCCCAAGCAAAATAAAAGGTTGCCGTTTTAAGGCACTAAGTTTTGAGGTGCCTTGTTATGCAGCCACCAATAACTGAAACATTGAGAGAATTAAATTCCCATTTATCTCATCTAAGTAGGAATTTTTTACATTATCAACAAAAAGTTGTCTACTTGAAACTTTACCTTTTATGCTATGCAGTGAGAGGGAGAATATAGGACCAGAAAAAGTCTAAAGAAAAAAGTACTTAGTACATACAAAAACATAATAAAAAATAATATATCAATCAGGGTTCTTATTTTCAAGCAACAGAACTTGAATCGGGTGAACAGCGGCAGAGAACGAATTTGATGAGGACATCACCGCCATTTAGCACTAGATGGCGCAGTTTACACTAGTGTATGTAACACACACACTTTAGCACAGGCTTTGCTGCTGCTGCTGCCGTTGCTGATTTTACTGATTTACGGAGCCTGGAATTCGTGATGTTGCTTCCTTTGCTAGTAACAGAAAAAGAACTTATTGATAAAAATTACCTTAGTCAGGTAAACAAAATTAACATGTCATATAAGTACCCTTAAAATGATATGTTTCCTAATATGTACCCTTAAAATGATGGGATGAAATAGCACGTATTTCTGTGATCAGAAATCCTCCTTCAAAGCCATCATCTCAGTCTAATCATGAGAAAAACATCGGTAAAATTCTAATAGATGGGTTTTTTTTATGTGTATTTTTTTATTACAAAGTTTATTTTTACATCATTTTGCACATTTTTTTTCCATCTCGATTGTAATCCCCGCGGATTTCCCATCACCAAATCACCCCTGTGCCACCACCATAGTCCCGTGCATTTCCCTCCCTTCCCCCCCTCCCCCCATTTTTGATCCCATTCCCCACTCCACCCCCACAAAATGTCTCTGGTATATGGTTGTTCATTATTTTTGTTATTTTCTCGCCTGGTCCATTATACTCCTGCTATGAGTGACACCATCCGGTATTTTTCTTTCTCTTTCTGGCTTATCTCACTAAGCATGATCTTTTCCAGCTCCATCCAAGTTGCTGCAAAAGACATGTGTTTCTCTTTTTTGGTTGCTGAGTAATATTCCATTGTATATATGTACCACATCTTTCTAATCCAGTCATCTACTTTTGGGCATTTGGGCTGCTTCCATGTTTTTTAGATGGGTTTTTTAATGAAGTATATGCTTAGTACTCCTCAAAAAGGCCATCAAAAACAAGCCTGATAAATATCACAGCCCACAGAAACCTAAGGATACATGTAGTATCCTGAATAAAACCCTGGGTCAGAAAAAGAAAATCAGGTGGAAAAAAAAATCTAAGGAAATATGAATAAAGTGTGGACTCCAACAATAATAAGTTATCAATGTAATCTTCTGAATTGTAACAAATGCACAGTTATGTAACAATATCAATAAGAAAAAGCAGGAGGGGCTAGGAGACTGAGCATTAATTTCTCTGTAAAAATAAAACTACTCTAAAAAATAAAGTCTATTTTTGAAAAGAAATGAAACTAAATCTCCAGAATAACAACTACAAAAGAAGGAGCAGGGGTTGAGGACTTCAGGCTACTTCCTAGTCACAGGTGAAATGCTTTGTTCCAATGAAAATGCTACCAGGTGTCTTCGGTAGCAAGTGCTTCCATTCCCTTCATTCTTTCCATAGAGGATTCCTTAACATGGAAATACCTAACACTTGTCTAAGAGCACAGTACATACACAAAGACTTGAATGCCAGCTCCCAGCAATTGAGGAGCTCTCGCTAATTACTGAGGAGCTCTTGCTAATTACTGATCACTTTTAGAGGTATTTGAAGTTAGTGTTATGTTTCAATATCTCGAGTATTTTATATAACTTTTTTTAAAAAAGATTTATTTATTTGTGCATACAGAACTGGGTACAGGCCAGAGGCTCAGGGGTGGTGAGAGGCTTCACCAGAGACAGAGTGGGGAACAGAACAGGCAGATCGATGAAGTACACTGCTGAGGGGAGCAGCGGGTGGGTCAGGGGAGGTCTGCCACACCATGTGTTCACCTCCGAAGCAGGTGGGAATCGAACTCATGCCGAAGCAGCTTTAGATTCTCAGGGCTGTGCTTTAACCTGCTGCGCCACCAGGGAGGGCCCTATTTTATATAACTTTTAAGGAGAGTCCTAAGAGGGCTTGTAACTAAAGTCACATACAGCAATGTCTCCAAACACACGACAAAAGATATTCAAGTCAGAATGGAAAGCCCTCCTGGTCATAGCGTTATTATCCAGAACACAACTAATACAAAGTTGTGTTTACCCAGACACGATATTCAATGGCTTATTTGATAGTGCTATCACAAAATAGCTCAGATTCACCAAGCCAAAGCTGAACTCATGATCGATCCTCTGCAAAATCTTTTACCTGGACGCAAAACTGAATTAGTAACTCAGTGCAAAAACTGTGTTGAATCACATTACATGCAAGATGTTTTTGAAGTTGTTGTTTTTGTTTCAATGAACTTCGGGGGAGAGGCGGGACGGGTGGGACTGGTAAGAAAGGTTTCACGGGATGGGATGAGGAAAAAGAGGGAAAACCTAACTTGCTCTCTCCCCACCCACCATAAACGAGGCTGGAGCTCATCCATCCTGAGCAGCCTTACAGCGGCCAGCAAGTCGACGTGGTGGGCGGGACTTGGAGAAAGGGGCGGGGCTGGGGAAAGCCCCTGTGTTTGACCGGGGGACTCAGGCCGCAGGGGCTTCTGGGGGCGCCTTCCAAGATTGGTGCGCGTGCGCGGGAGTTTACCCTGGCTTCCCGTGGCATAGGTGAGACCCACAACCCACCGTTGAGTTTAGGGGCCAGGTGCGCTCTAGGCTGCTTAGTTCTGGCGTGATTACCGGCGACGGTACCCTCCGCCACCGAGGACGGCAACCCCGCGGCTCCTCTCGAAACTGATGCTGGGCGTGGCTGAGCGCGACCCTGTCTGGGAGCGGTGCTGGTGGGGACTACCCAGGTGAGTGGACTAGATGTAGACTAGGTGTCTACTAGAAACGCGCAGTTTTCCTGGGCGCCTTAGCAGTTCCTGGGATTCCCACACCGCGCTCTGCATTTGGGGGGTAGAGGGAGAGCGGGGAAGCTGGAGCGCGGCGAGAGCTCAGAGAGACCTGGGGTGCGGAACGTAGTACGTGAGAGGGCAGAGGGAAATAGGGTTAGGGGTGGGAAACGACGACTTAGGTCTAAATCCCGTTCATTTAGGAATTTAACTTCACTATTGTCCAATTGTAATCTTGTGCACAATGGGCAAACTGCACACGCTTAACCGGGTAATATTTGTAGTAGATCGGCTGGTTTGGGGATGACTGGTCTTAACCGCGCAAGGTATGACTGGACCAATCAACTGGAAAAGAAAATGGAGAAAAGTTCATTTAAATTAGCTTCCCTCCTCAGTCGTGCTTGGTCACGCCCCCACTTTAAAGCCTCCAGGCATCTTTTTTCTTTTAGACACTTTTTTTGCAAACTGCTTTTCTTTTTATCTGAGCTAATCTGGGAAGAATCCTTACTCTGCCTGTTTCCATTAAACAACCCTTTTCAGAGATACTTCCTTTCCCTCCACAATTAGCTCGTTTCTTGAAGCTGTAAAATTCTTCAAACTTAAGTCATCCGAGTTTTCCTAATGTGCCCCCATAGCCCTCCATTGGCCTCATCCTGAGGTCTCTCCAAACTCTTAGTACATGCTAGCCTATTGTCCTGAAGACCGTTCTCCTAACTCTGTATTATTTTTTACTGAGCAGTTTGTTCGTTTCTATCCTATTAATACTTAGTATATTTTGTTGTTGAATGTTTAACTCATGCCACTCTTGTTTGAGTATATAAATAAGGCATTGCCGTTGCTCTGTAGGTTTTGATATGCAATGGTTTTAATTGTTAGATATTTAACAATTGTACTTTATCTTTTTATTTAAAAATCATTTTTTAGACGCAGAATTTTGGCTTTCAAAGTAGCTGAGACTTTTGTTCGGGCTAACTTCTCGTTTGCATTTTGTAACAAATGTAGTCTGTATCACTCATTTTACTTTTTATTTATTGCAGATTTTTTTGTAGCATAGTAATTTGCAGTTTTTGCAGGTATTTTTTATAAGTGCTTGAATAGAAACTACATTCTGCCTGGATTTATAGAGAAGACCAAGCCTATTATATCCACTGTGTTACTTGGTTTTAGTTTCTGTCTTAAGGACTGAGAAAATTGTCATTTCTCTCCTTTCTGTTGTGTTACCGTTAATTCAATATTTTGTTTTCTGAGGGGTTTGCTATAAATATACTCAATATGTTACTTGGCTCATTTCATAACAGTTATATTTTCAAGTTGTACCCTTGGTCATCTCTCAGTTCCTATCCATACCCCTTCTTTAAAAAAAAAAAAAGATTTATTTATTTATTCGTACAGAACTGGGGTACAGGCCAGAGATGTGGAGGGTGACAGGATTCACCAGAGACAGAGTGGGGAGCAGAACAGGCAGATCGAGGAAGTACACTGCTGAGGGGAGCAGTGGGCGGATCAGGAGAGGTCTGCCTGCCTTGTGGATCTCCTCCTTCAGGGCAGGTGGGAATCGAACTCATGCGGAAGTGGCTTAAGCTTCTTAGTTCTGTGCTTTAGCCTGCTGAGCCACCAGGGAGGGCTTAGACATACCCCACTTCTTACCTATATAGAGAACCTGTGTAGTATTCTGCCCCATAACAAAGTTCTTCCCTAAATAAATTGAAAATAATCTGAGGGAAACTAAGGCTTTTGGTGTGGTTATTGTAAACCTTATCTCATTTATGTGGGTGACCCACAGTTTAACAGCCAGCTCCCCCATCCAACAAGATTAAAGTCTGCTAATACCCACATACACGTGACCTTTAGTAAGAGCTCACCTCAGGGTAGGTAGGTACCTGCTAGGAAGCCAATCTATTGTTATAGAAAAAGGTGAGATTTATATGATAATCTGTCAGAACCACTGGATTTTTAAATTAACATGTAATAATCAACCACTTAAATGTGAGCAAAAATAAAAAGGAGCAAAGCCAAATTAATAGAAACCCTGATGACAAAATAGAAGGGAATTTAGGAGGCAAAACAAAGTCATCAGAGAAACTTGAAGTGATCTTATAGCAACCAAACAAGTGCAGTTCTATGGGAAAAGAATCACCAGTGAACACGAAAGCGCTCTTAAGTTTAAAATATGACTGGGAGAAATATTTTCTTTTTAATTAACTGAACACCTACAAGATCAAATGAAACAAATCTAACTCAAAGAAAAAAATTAAATATTTCAACAGCTCTTAAAATGACTTCTGTGGAGTAAATCTGGGAATAGAGAGGAGATAGTAGGGTGGAAGACTGGTTTTTTAGCATGTAAGTTCTCACGTGCTAATGGATTGTTTTTCCTTTTACCATATAGAGTGATTAGCTTTTATTTGAAAAAAGTGCCATGATTTTAATTTTTTCATGATAAAATTTTGTTCATTACCTTTGCATTTTGGGAAATACTTTTAGATTTTTTCTATCATATCATTGCTTCCTTGTGGTATACCCCCTACCTTCTGCTGTTTACCTACTTCCAGTTAATATTTTAAGTCTGCTCATTCATTTTTATATTTACCCTTACTTTATTCTGTTTTACCAAATGACTGACTCCCAATTCTACTTTGTAATACTACAGTGTATCCTTTTGAATCAGACAAGTGTCCTCTAGCTTTATAATCGTGTTTTTTATTTTAGAACAATTTAGGTTTATAGTAAAATTGAGAAGCTGGTACAGAGTCCTGTACCCATTTTCCCTACTAGTAACAAATTATGGTACAGATGTTACAATTAATGAAAGGATAGTGAAAAATTAATACCCTAACTGTACTCATATGTTGGTTTTTCCCTAATGATTTTTTCCTGACCCTTAATCTCACCCAGAAAGTCACATGACATTGTGTAGTCATATCCCCTTAGGTTCTTCTTGGCTACAGTAATTTCTCAGACTTGCTTCTAATGAAGGATGCTGGTCAAGTACTTGATTGGGAGCCCATCCATTCAAATTTATCTGATTTTTAACTCCCACGATAAGATAGGGATTATGGGCTTTGGGGAGGAAGATCGCAGAGATAAAATGCTCTTTCCACTACATGATCTCAAGGGTGCTGTCAGTGTGACTTAGCACTATTGATGTAACCTTGATCACCTGGCTGAGGTAGTGTTTGTCAGGATTCGCCACTACAAACTTACTCTTTCTCCTTTCCCATGGAATATTCTTTGGAAAGAAATCACTATGTACTCAAGGGGCAGAGGGTTATACTTAGAGGATTATGTACATAAGTGATTTTAAATTTTTCTGCTTGGAGGATTTGTCTGTTCTTCCCTACTTGTTGATTCAGTCACACATAAATATAACTTGTGAGTATTTATAGTTTGGATTATAATCTATTATTTATTCTGTTGCTTATATTGTTTCAACTTTGGCCATTGGATGCTCTTGCACTTGGCTCCTGTATGCCTTTGACATACTTCAATAAGTGAGTTTTTTTTTTGTTTGTTTTTCAGCAAGTCTTTATATTCTGATATTATTAACATTACCTAATTTATCAGCAGTTTACTAATACCTATTCATTTACTCATTTTTTTTTAGCTTCTCAAATACCTGAGCTGTAACTTGGCTGACTCATCACACTGTGTGTATATAATACATAAATGCTTAACTCAAGCCTGAGAATTATTGGAATCCTGATAATACAAATTTGAACTAAATTTGAACAAATCTTCCTCTGGGAGTTCTCCAGAGGAAGATGCAACCTTTGAGTAAACTGATGGCTATCTCAAAATCTCAAAACCTGACTCCTTCTGAACAAAGTGATATTCTGAGAACAGATATGTTTTGGCAGCAGGAAACCATCCCAGTCATGGAGACATGTGATTCTGAGACCTGGCGTCAAAAATTTAGACATTTCCAGTACTTGGAAGAATCTGGGCCTCATGAATCCCTGAGCCAACTTTGGGAGCTCTGTCTTCAGTGGCTGAGACCAGAGATTAATACAAAGGAGCAGATTCTAGAACTGTTGGTACTAGAACAGTTCCTGACAATTCTTCCTGAAGAGGCCAGAGTTTGGGTGAATTTACAACATCCAAAGAACAGCAGAGAAGTGGCTACCCTCTTGGAGGATGTGATTGAAATGCTTAAAGACAAAGGTGGGTATATAGAAAACAGAGTAATTAACCCTTCGCATATAAAGAACAATTATCCTTTCCTGAGGCTAGAAGGTGTCAAGGGCCAGACCATAAAGGTCTTTACTGTATTAGGAAGCCTGGACTTCAGTCCATAAGCAATAGCAACAGAATGGGATCGCACAGTTGAGTGTAATGATTTGATTTGTCTTTAAGAAATATGTTGGTTTCAGGGGTGAACAGCTGTGACCCACAGGCCATATATATTTGGAAATAAACCTGTAACTGGAACATGGCCATTTGTTTACATTTTTGTCTACAGACAAAACCAGAATTGATTAGTCATAACAAAAACTATATTCATTGTAAAGCCTAAAATATTAACTGTGGATCTTTAAAGAAAAAAATTATCACCTTTTTACGTGAGCTCTGAAAACAGGAAAATGAGGTGGCGGACAGTTGTAGTATAGTAGATTCGGTGTTAGAGGACGGGGATTGGGAAAATAGAGCACTTTGAATCTAAAGGATTTATTTGCATATTAGATGTGAGTGGGATAAGTGTTAATGTAAATGCACACTTTCTGGCTTCCACTAATGGAGAATAACCAGATTTTGATGGATTTTGTGGCATGTTAACTTTGAGATCTGTGTGGAACATCTATAATGAATAAAAAAAATACATAGCTAACAGTACGATTTTAGTGTTCAGAAAGACAAAATTTGGAAACTTATAGATATGAGCAGAGGTATAAAGTTGCAGATATTAACAGAGGTCTAAAAATACCTCTTCAGAAAGCATCAGTATTTAAGAGCTGGTATAGATCTAAATATCAATTAGCAGAAACCCAGAGGATAAAGGAACATGTTAAACTGTACCAAGAAAATGCCTTTAGTAAAATAAATCTAAACTGTGGGAATCTATAGACAATCACTTTTCTATTGTAGCTATAACACATTGTTGCAGACTTGGTGGCATAAAGCAATTTGAATGTACCATGTCACATAGGCCTTTTGATCAGTCCAACATGGAACGCATTATGGGACTCTATTCCTTTCTCATGACTCCCTTCCCCCATCCTCAAAGCTGGCAGCTCATTAAATCTTGGCGAGCCAAGTTCTGTGCATCTTTCACTGACTGTCTCTCATTGATAGCTGAGAGAGGTTCTCCACTCTTTAGGATCGGAGAGTAGACTGGTGCTACCAAAATAATCTAGAATTATTTCTTATCAATGTCCTTTAATTTTAATATTTTTGAGTCCCTTTTTTCCATACAGTCTTAGGGCATGGACATATCTGGGGAGCATGGTTATTATTCTGGCACATGGTTCAAAAAATAAGTATGAGGGAGACTATGATAATGATTACATTTTTTGAAAAGCTTAATTGTAGGAAATGGGAAGGTTTTAAGACTGCAAAATGCAAAAGACTCAGTTTTTTTGTTTTTGTTTTTTTTTTAAACACCTAGTGGCTCTTTGAAGAACTCACTCAAAGGGCTTGCCTTTATTTTACCTAATTCTGACTTTTCTGAGGACTGAGGTAGCAGCTATCTGGGAGGCATTTGTCAAAAACATTTAATGGACTCGGACATTGAATAAACAATTGAGGCAACCATAAAAATAGAAAAGATTGGGGGAAAGACCAGAGTGAAGTGCTTTAGGGAAAGGGATTTAAAAAGCTGCTGCATATCCTAGCATTCTAGAAGGCTGGGCACATGTTCAGAATGACATAACTGAGTAGGCCCTGCCATACCTCGGCTGTACCTCAGACTCTGCAATCAGGAAGTAAAGACTAAGGTATGACTGAGTGTTGAAGGCATGCAACCCACTTTCATAGACTTAAGAAATGGTGCTTGTTCCAAACAGTTAAGGGATTATCTGTGAAGTCACTAGCTGATCACTAAGCTTAGGGAAAAGATTTAAGTAGATACAACATACAACAGAGAATATAGACCTTATAGATCAGTTTTAAAAATTCACCAAGTAAAGAACTGCAACAAATCAGGTCCAAAATATGTGAACCAAAATCAACAAAATGAAGGGAAAAACAGATCAAGAATAATAGTTGGAGACTTTAACACCCTCCTTTTTGTGCCCAATACTGCTGATTTCTACTTATTTTCTTCCATAGCCCTCTTCTCTCATACAATAGTTCTCAATTCCTGGTACAGCTTTTTTTTTTTTTTTAAGATTTCAATTTTTTTATGCATACAAAAATGGGGTACAGGCTAAAGTGCAGGGGGTGAGAGGATTCACTGCTGAGGGGAGCAGTGAGCAAGACAGGAGAGGTCTTCTGTGCCATGTGGATCACTTCCGGAGTGTGGAACTTGCACTGAAGTGGCCATGGCTTGGCTTAGCTTCACAGTGCAGTGTTCCAACCTGCTGTGCCACCAGGGAGGGCCCCCTACTACAGCTTTTTAAAAATGAAAGATTTGAACCCACCTTGGATATTCTGATTGCTGGTAGGGACTGATATTTTTTCAAAGTTTTAAAGATGATTCCTATGAATAGCATGTTAAATTTCTCCAGAGAAAAACTTGTCTCATAACCATTTTCCATCTTCAGGTATGCCCTGCAAGGATTCTTTCCTGCTCCAGAAGGGGTGCATTAAAGAAGAGGAAATGGAAGCTGACTCACCGGTAGGCAAATTGCAGGTGAATCAGGAAATCACTCTACTGTCTTTTTTTGGGTCTTTGCACTGTGACTAAATAATTTATCTGCGGGCATGAGACATTTTCTCCCACAGGATAGTGAAATCTGTTTTAGTTGGTGATATATTCTTTGGAGAGTATTTTATCTTTGTATATTCTCTATACTTTGACTCTGTCATGATTATTGGTAATAATTGAAGCTACAGAAATCGCACCTACCCAAAGAATGCTCAGGATTAAAAGTGAAGGAAACAAAGGGCAGGATCCTGAGCAATGTCACTTTATAGGCAGGAGCAGAAGAAACTTCAAAGCATGCAAAAATAAGGAGCCAACAGAATGGATGAAAATATGATGCCACTGAAAGTAAAGGGCGAGGATATTTGAAGGAGAAATCTTTTTAAGTTTCAATTAAACAGCTTGGGTAGTATATTCCCTTATCATGGAAATACCAAATGCATGGAAATAGAACCCAGGTTGCAGAGAGAGAAGGAAAGAGGGAAAAGGTAAGGAAAAAGGCAAAATTAACATAGTGCTAATTCATGAAGACTGACTCTGACGGTAGAGGAAGGGAAGAAGATGTATTTGCTTATATTTTTATTGAGGTAATACTGGACAAGACAGGAGGAAATTTATTCATTAGTGAATTTTCACACAGAGCCTAGCATGCCCAGATGCTATCCTAAAGATTGGGCATATGGTGATAAATTTATACAAAATTCATACCTGTTCAGGTTATATCTAGCTGAAGTAGACATGTAAATACAAAACAAGATCGTTGTAGATAGTAATCATTATTACAAAGAAAGAAAAAATGCAGTCCAGACAGATTGGCTATGTTTGGATAATCAGGAAAGGCCTATTTGACAAGATGATATTGGGCTGTGAGACCAGAATGATAAGGTGTGAACAGGCTGTGTTTCTCAGAGAAAAATGCCCTGCCTCTTCTGCTAGCAGAGCCCACAGCAAGAACACAAATCAATGCCTCAGATCTCTCTTAAACTATTTCTGTTCTGAACTTTTTAAAAATTGTATTGTAGTTTTTTGTTCCACAGTTATCCCAACTATCTTTTTCTCCTCACAAAGTATGTGCTAATTTAGAATAAGGACTGTACATCATTTTCCTTTTGCAATCCTCACAGAGTACCAAGTTGACACACCCGTAAAATAACTTGACCTTCGTCACTTAAAATCCCAGATGTTGTCTGTCAGTTTGTTGTATATTCAAATCATCCATTCTGTCCTTTCCAAATCCATTTCTCTCTGGTATTATTTTGGGGAGTGACCCCTGTGATTGAAAAGGAACTTGATGTTTTAGGAACCTGTGACATTCAAAGATGTGGTTGTGGAGTTCAGCAAGGAAGAGTGGAAGCAACTGGACCCCGCTGTGAGGAATCTGTATGGGGAAGTGATGCTGGAAAACTATAGGAACCTGAGTTCATTGCACAAAGGTGGCATCTCTACGTGGTTACCTAACCTGGTTTTGGGTACTCTCTTCACCTACTAAAAAACAATAATTATAGTGCCGTTAAAGTGACGAAGGACATTTGGATTGGACTTACGTTTCCTAGTATCCTTCGGGCACAGTAGCAGATTTTCCTGCTCTATCTGGCTGAAGTTCGTTCAGATGCAGAGTTAGAAATACAGAGGTCTGAGGTTCTACCTGTATCTTTCAGAATCTCTTAGACTGTTGCATTGTTGGGATGGAATTTTTGTCCCTATAAAAATATCTGGAATGTCATGCTTGTTTATTAACTGTTTTTTTCTTTCTCCTCAGAAACAGAGCATCAACCTTCCAACTTGGAAAATATGATCTCCAACTTGGAAAATAAGAAAATAGAATGGATGGAGCGAGAAATCCCAAGAACAACTAATTTTGGTAAGAACCAGGCAGATAAGAGGTCTTTGTAAGAAGCTCTTGTTTCTTAAACATACTTTGTACAACCCAACTTTGAGATGATAGCTGAGAAGTGATAGCAAAACCACTTAAACTTTGAAGAAAAAAGTCATCGTTTTTTGTTCAAATTCCTTTTCTTGTATAACAGATAAAATAATGCTGTGGGTTAGTCACTCAGACACTTGGCTTAAAGTTTCCTTATTTGACGTTATTTCCTTTTCTGTTGCAAAGTTAATGATATCAGTAGTATCCTTCATATTACTGTGAGGGTTAAATGAGTTGAATGCTTATTAAGTGCTGTATAAACAAATACTAGACCACCTGACATTAAATCATACCTTTTTTTTTTTAAGGAAAATGAGTGATTTCAGTCATCTTCCATTTCATTCTTTTACCTACTTAACTTTTTCCATAATGTCCTACTGTCATCACAGCTTCTTTGTTCTTGTTAACATTTCATTTTTGAAAGATTAAAATTATTATTGCTCTTATAAATTTTAGTAAGTATAGAACAGAATGAAGAGGAATATAACTTACCTTACCACCTTACTACCTAGTGTTGTACAATATTAACATTTTAGTTTTCTTCATTTTCCTTATTATGTTGTGTCTCTAGCTTGTGAAGATTGCCTTTTTCCAAAAGTAGGTTCATCAGGAAGAAGTCACTATATATTCTGCTCTTCTCAAAGAAATGGAATATAATGATCAATTACCTATTTAACTAGAATATAGTGAAAAACATGGTTCTAATTCACATGTGCCATCCCATCATAGACATGTATCATAGTGCATCTAACCCTTCACACTGACTGACATGTAGGCTCTTGCCAGTTTTTATTTTTTAAGATTTATTTATTTTTCATACAGAACTGGGGTACAGGCCAAAGATGCGGAGGGTGAGAGAATTCACCAGGGATAGAGTGGGGAGCAGAACAGGCAGATCAACGAAATACACTGCTGAAGGGAGCAGTGGGCTGGTCAGGAGAGGTCTGCCATGCCATGTGGATCTCCTCCGGGGCAGGTGGGGATCGAACTCATGCGGAAATGGCTTAAGCTTCTTTTGCAGTGCATTAACCCGCTACGCCCCCAGGGAGGGCCCGGCTCTTGGCCAGTTTTATAGGCATATCTGATGATTTCCATAGTATACCTTTTAAGAAAATGAACTTCAACCATACATATATTTAACTGTCTTTTTTACCAATGCTAAGTTTACAGAAAGTTTATACCATGTCATACTCTTACTAATAATGAAAGCATTGTTATATTTTGGTTTACTATTATCTTAGCAAATGATAGGTATCATTTACCTGAAATCTTTATTAAATGGGCAAATTACTCTGTATCTTCCTGTTTTAGACAAATTCTTCCTCTCAATTATCCTTTGGATCCCATTTCTATTTTACTTCTTTCACTTACATTTTATTTTCTCTATGTCTGCTTATATTCTTACTAGCTTTCAAAGTTTCTAGGTCATTACTGAAATGCCCCTTCACTTATTTTATTTCTTACCTCTTCCTTATAACCAAGCTTCCACCTTGTTAAACACAGACACTCTGTCAAGACACCCATTTCATTATGGCATCAAGCTTGAAGTACATGATCTTATCATCTATATAAAGTTCAGGTTTGGAAGTGGTTCTTTTGTAAAGGCCTGTGAATTAAGGGAACACATTATCTTCCCACACTTTATGTACTCATGAAAGGCAGAGAGGGGAAAAGTACAGTTGATACATCCATTTGTTCCGAGGCACCATCCTGGAAAATTCTGATACTCTCTATTCTGTATTACTTAGTATGGTACTCTGTATGATCATTTCAGCTAGAAATTAGACTAATTCAGACTGAATTGATATATGTCTTGCAGAGTTGCATGTATCAGTGGGGATGCTTTGAGGATTATTTCATAACATAAAATAATATTACCTAAGCGCAGATTAGATGTGAGAGGTAGATAACAACTGTTACTCCTGACCTCTTCATGGACTCAGGACATTGAGGGAGGGGATTCTTTTCACATGGAAGATGATATCCTACTCTCTCACTTTTTGAGTTGGAAGAGAGTAGGAGTCAAGTGGGATTGTCCTGAAAACTGGTAAAAACAAGGGTTGATGCTGTATGTGAAACTACAAAGCTGAAGCTGTAATTCAGCTACTGATAAAGCACAGGGGGTAAACTCATTAGAAAGCCCTAAAGTTAAGTGGGAAAGAACAAAGGGAAAGTTAATTAAACTAAATTTTAAAAGTCTAAAATTTGCAGTATGCTCAGTGTATATATACAAAAATTAAGTGAAAATGAAATTTTGATATGGGAAGTAGGAATTTATTAAATGAAACAAACTGAAGACAAGTGAAAGAAGAGAATACATACTTAATCAGAACAGGTAAAGTTTTTGAGTTCTTGGACATAGAAAAATAATCATAGTACTATTAGAATCAGGAGTGATTTTTGAACCCAGAAAAAGTATGATTTCCTTGCTACGGTATATTATGGTTCTATCTACCTTTGTTAAATAAGGGAATAACTACAGTTGTATGGGAAGTAGGGCACTATGATTATAAGATTGCTTTTAGAATGATGCCTATAAATGTAGATATGCTTCTAAAGATATGATTAAATTGGTAATTTAGAAGGGTCATTTATCATTGATGAACAGCTTGGTTAAAGGAAACAAAATGCTAAATAAAGGAATATTAAGTGTAATCTTCATATCATGTCATGAACTTGATATGTCACCCCAACCCACTTCATATACTGATCTTGTTCCCATGCTTTAAGTATTCTCCATAGTATTCTTAAGTAGCTTTCCTCATAATTCATGATCTCCTAATGCCCCTTTTATCCATTTATTTCTTCTCTAGTTCTTTTCTAACCTCACCTCTTTCTTGAGTTCTGTATTTAAGACTCATAAAATCTGTATGTACCCTTTCTTATATGGTTTGATTTCCCTTTCTTAACTAATCAGTTACCCTTCTTCTGGTTTGTGTTTCTTTTTAGCCAGAGAGACTATTTCAGAAAAACAAGATTCATTTCCAAAGCTGAGAGTTTCTGGAGAAGAATCATCTTATCGAATCATTATGACAAAGCTGAGCAAAGGGGAACACCTTTCTTTAGCAGCTTGGAAGAGTGATGATTGGTTATGTAGGAACCAGAAAACCTGGGATATAGATTTGCCAGAAGGAGCTTTTATACATAAGACAAACTGCACTAAAGAAGGAAACTTTAAATGTGTTAAAAATAAGGAAAGCTTTGATGTTAAGGCAGTTAACTCAGTTTTTGATACTCAAGAGGAGATTTCTCTAAGAAAGGAGTCTCCACAGTGTGATAAGTTTAAAGTTCATATCAAATTTAATTTAGATTCAATAGGTAAGAAACATTCAGATGATAATGAATATGCAAATGCCTTGAGCTTGAGTACAGATCAGCAACACCCAAAAAGTCACACCACAATGAATTCCTATGTATGTTTTCAGTGTGGGAAAGCCTTCAGCCGAGGTTCGTCCCTTGTTCGACATCAGATCATTCACACAGGAGAGAAACCCTATAAATGCAGTGATTGTGGGAGATTCTTCAACCGACGTACAAATCTTACTAAACATCAAAATATTCATTCTGAGGCAAATGCTTACACAGGCAATAAAAGTGAAAAAATGTTCAGTAAGTATGAAGACATTAATAACAATTCAAAACTGTGTTCTAGAAATAAACCCTATGAATGTAGTAACTGTGGGAAATCATTCAACCGGAGCTCCTCCCTCATTCGGCATCAAATGATTCATACTGGAGAGAAACCATTCAAGTGTAAGGAATGTGAGAAAGCCTTCAACAGGAAATCAAATCTTATGAAACACCAAAAACTTCATACTCAAGAAGTCCTGTAACAATCAGAAATGCAGGATTACCTTCAGCAATGCAGAAGTTGTTCAACATCCATGAATGTATATTGAAGGAAATTCTAAAACAAAAACACTTATTATTCTTTAATTGATATGACGATGTGAATATTGGAGAGAAATCTGATGCTTGATGCTGGATCAAAATCTGTTTTGAGGGAGCATTTCCAGGTTCCCAAATGAACCCAGAAGGGTTTGGAGTTAAGCATTTGTTTTTGCTTATTAATATTCTGATATTATCTTCACCGGACACACTGATGGAGAGTAGGGAGCCAGACAATACCTAGGGAGTTGATGTTTAATGAAACGTGAAATGTCTAGTCCTTACAAAGTTATGAGAAAGCAGTGTCTCCGTATTATCAGAGGACACTTCTAAGGACTGAATTCTGAATTAATGGCAATTACTCAACCCCCAAAAATACACTTGGCTGTCCTTGTGTTGAGTGGGGACTGGAATAGAAGAGAGGTCTCAGCTGTAATGGGCGGTGGATGTGCTGTTGGTATATAAATATGCTTGAAAATGTATTTTAGGAGCGAGGCTGAAGAGACAGTCTTAGATCAGTTAGACTTCCCTAAATACTTAGCAAGTCAATTAATTATTCTATAACATGCAATGGAACTGCTGTAAGCTACTTCAGAATCCCAAAGGGTTCTTGAGTCAAGCTTATGTTGATTTGCCCAAAAGTTTGGATGAAGGTTTTTGTTAAGAATTCATGTACTATTCAAAAGCAAAAAAGGGATACTGGAGTGAACCCTTATCATGAGTTAATAAATGTGGAAAATTCTGTGTGCATGTGTTCATCTTTTACATCACAATACAAGTTGGACTAGGAAAAATTGCACCAGTAATTTTGTGGAGATTCACATAAATGTATGGCAGTTTTTAGAGGACCCTAAACAAAAACAAAATTCTAATAAATTCTTGAGGTATATTTTAGTTATTCATCAAAGCAATTACTGACATGTTTAATATAATGGATTTTAACATTCTCATTTTCTCTAGTATTTCACTTTTTAAATATTTTGAGTGGTTAAAATATAAAAGGACTTTTTCTCAACAGCTATTCTGGTCTAACAAATTCATTTTTCTTCTTACAAATCTCTTAGCTTTTCAAAAATAAATGATCTATACAGTTATCTTCTAAATTACCTAATTGAAACATATGTTGCTTTAAATAATACCTCTTTGGAGTATATTGAAACTTTAGTTTCATCCAGTTTAGTACCTTTCAGCCAGTTAACATCCCCATCTTTTTCTATAAATCTATATAATGTTTGAATTTTACCAGGCATTCAAGGGCAGATAACCTAAGGTGAAACAAGAAGAGTAGAAATTAGCTAGCTTGTGTGTGATGGAGATTAGGGAGATGATAAAGAAGAAGAAAAAAAAAAGTGTAAAGCTGTGGAGGGTTGAGGGCATGGCATGTTCAGGAATTATAAATTGTAGATTAGAATACAGCATTGAAAAAGAAAATCAGGAATACATAATAGCTATACTAGAGAGAGGCTCCCAAAGATTAGACCATAAAAATATTGTTAGCCACCTTATATGTTTGGAATTCATCCTAAGTATGAAGGGCAGACGAAAATTCCCATTACCTTCACATTCTTAGTGCTTTGAAAATGCTTAGTTAAATCAGAAAAGGGAAATTAGTGGGAAGTGACAATCATTTGGTGGTGATATGGTAGCTGATATTGACAATTTGTTAGATTTAATAAACAATTACCAAGGTCTTGTAACTCAGCACAGGTTATCTCCACAGAGAGCACTTACCTTTTTCCATGAGGACTGTTAGGATCTAAGTGTCATTGTGGGTCTGGAGCCAATGATGTGGTAGGGGTGGTTAATGAAAAGACAGGACTGACAACGTTGTGCCATAGAGTTATCTCACATGTTTGAGAGGAATCTCTGCCCCACTATGGAGCCCACAAAAGACAAACACTGGGACTCTCAGCTTTTACAATGAACACATTTTTTGGTAGAATATATCTGCTGTAATACCTGAACATCAAGGTATGCATTTTTTCATATAGGTACTACTGATCAGGTTAAGCCGTGGCTAATTACATCATTGCCTCATCTCAACCTCTGATGCTCCGAGGAATTAACTTTCCACCATATGGGCTTCCACCACAGGTATTTACCACCTTATTTCTAAATAATTGCTTACCGTTTGTGTTTGTGTATCAGAACTGGGGTGTGGACCAGAGGTGCAGGGCGTCAGAGGACTCAACCAGAGTGGGGAGCAGAACAGGTCAAAATACATTGTTGAGGGTTATCAGCAGGTGAGACAAGAGGTTGCTGCGCCGCCTTATTTGGGTCACCTCCCTGGCCAGGTATGGATCTCAGGCCATAGTGGTGACAGCACTGAGACTTAACCCCTAGGTCACCAGGGAGGCTCTACACTGTTATTTCTTGATTGGCAATTTTTATTACTACCTTCAGGTTTTCTACTAATGAGAGATGGGGATTTGGTACTATAAACTGTGCCTTATACTCTTTTTATCCTATCAATATGTGTAACATCTCAGTTTTTTTAAAAAAATTCAGTGTTTATATTTTTATGTTAGTGGTCTAGAAAAAGACTTGTTAGAATAGGTTTTAGTGAGTAGAATTCATAAATCCAAAAGCTATCATGCTTGTTAAAAAAAAAGCCAATCCAAATTTAATTCCTTAATAATAAGGATAAGGAAATGTAATTGTAGTACACACGCTTGATAATGTAGAGATAATTAGGTGTTATGAAACAGACACAATGGAATATGTAGCCATAATATTTAAGAAAATTTGTAAAATTATTTTTATTTTTATGAAAATAAAATATAAAAAATACAGAAAAGTATGGAAAACGATAACCACAATCCATCCTATCACAGAAACCCATTCACATTTTATATATATCCAATTTTATATGTGCTCAATATTTTCCCCATATCTAAATATATATAAAGACTCTTACCTATATACAGTTCCGTATCTTATATTTATCATTTAACACCACAAGTATATTCTTACAAAAGACTGTATAACATTCCATCCTATAACTGCATCACAATGTATTTGACTTCCCCATTTTGGAGGTAGGGCAGCATTAAGAAAACTGCAATATCAAACATTTATTTTTGTGTATTCTGTTATCTTAGAATACTTGGTACAAACCAACCAATTTCTGGAGAAAACTATTTGGAGATCAGCCCATCGTTACAATGTTATACACCAATCACCTCATCTCTGATCCCATGAAGGAATCAGAGCAAACATTTGATTAAAAACCAACCATGTAAATAGTGTCTAGTAGATTGTTGTTTACCCTGGTCTCAGGCTTGTCCAGAGACTGTAATAGAAATAGCCAATTTTCTCCCCCAGCTCAGAAATCTGAACAGAGACTGAGAAGGAAGTTATGTTAATGGTAGGCTAAGGATTTGAAAAAAATAAAAGTATTCACAGATTTGACAATTTTAAATGTGCACAGTTAGTAGACAGGAAGGTCATTCAGCAAGAAAAGGACAGCCAAAGAGAAAGTGTCGCCTCAGTATGTAGGGGTGTTTACAGCAAGTTCCCATATTGAGGTTTCTGCCTTTGGGGGTGGGGGTGGAGAAAGAAATTAAAACATGAGATAACTAAGTTCTTGGTTCTAGAGATCTTTGATTTGTAAATACAATTTCCCTAATTTTGTATATTTTCAAAGGATAGATGCCTAGATATAAAATCACTGTAAGAAGATATCAATTTTAAGGCTCATGATTGATCAAATAAGTTTCAAAAAGTCTGAGTGTACCATCAACATAGTATACAAGTATCTGGCACTCTATACTCTCACTGACAATAGCTATTATTTTTGTTAATAAAAGTGGTATTTCATAGCTCTGATCTGTTGATGTCCACTGCCAATTTTTTTTTTAACCAGGTGTCTATCTTGTTGATTCTATGAAAGTTCAACTCATTATCATGGCAAGTATTTCTCCTATTCCAAACCCTTAAGCCTGTATGTATGTAAATTAGCTTCTTCCCACTTTGATCCACATTCTCTAACTTTCAGACAACAGAATGCCTAGATAAATTTGAAATGCACAACAAATTTTAAGTTCCATGCAATATTTGAGGCTCTTTATTATTAACAAATATAGCTTATCTGTAGTTAAACTTAACTGGCTGCTCTATACTTCATCAGATAACTTATTCTCCCATCTCTCTCTCTATATATATATATTTATGTGTGTGTGTGTATATATATATATATAAAATCTTTATTATTTAGCATTTGTATATTGTTTTCTTGTACAACTATTTAAATTTTTTTTTGTTTAATAAACAATTTACTTCTCTGCCTACTTAACTGCCTTTTGTGTTCTTCACCAGTCAGTCCTTTTATGACATGGCTTCCACATTTTAAATTCTCTTTTAAGAAAGGCACATGTATATGCTTTGTTTCTTTATCTACCTTGTTACTTGCACAGATAGAAGATAATTTACTCATGAGATTTTTTAATCTCAAAATTGTGAATGTGTTGCTCCTTTGTTTTTTAACACTCAGGTTGCAGAGGCCTTTATCCATTCTTTTAGATCCTGTAGATAACCAGAATTTTTCTTTCTGCATGCTTTCAGTTGTTCTTTTCCCCTATACTGTTACTAGGCATGGTTTTTATACTGGGTTTGTTGAAAATCTACTTTTAGCTTAGGAAAAACCTTAATTTTTCTGATCACTGATTCTATTCCAAGTATTTTTTCTTTATAAATTACCATTCTCTGTACCTTATGTATTTATATTGTTTCCATCACATTACCCTTATATGGTTTTAAGGTCACCTGAAGTTTATTTGTTATAGTATTTGATAGTCTGCATTACCAATTATGCTCCTGTCTTTGATATTGAATTTAAAATTTTCTTAGCATCCCTCTTCATTACATCATCTTTTTTTTTTTTTTTTTTTTTACATTAGAGACTACTTATAGACTTCTAGTCTAGTTCTATTTATTTCAAGCTTTCTGTTATGTTACTTGTGGACACCATTTAGAAAAAATACTTCTTCAGGAAACATAGCTAATTTTCAGAGGCATAGATATACGTTTTTACAATGATATTCTTTTCTTTGGTATCACAAATCCCTCTTATTTTCCTAAACAAATATTTTTAGCTTATTTTCCTAGCAAGAGATATCTAAACTTATTTATATTCCAGTAGTTAAGATTTGTTTATTCCTGTTGATTCTACTCCATTTTTATAAATGCCAAATTCTCTTTACATAATTATCTTGTGAGTATACTTTTGCATATGGCTTTGAGTTTCAATTTTGTTTCTAGCAGATAGGGCTTTATTGTCACTCTATTTTACAGCAATTTTTAAATCAATTTCTGTTCAGATTTCTAATTATAAACAAATGGAGCATTTTTAGTTTCTACCATTTACCCTTACTAACTTTTGTCCACATCTTTCACATCTTATGTAGGAAAAGTAGATCTTGTACTTGTTACTTGATGTCTGAATCCTTGAACAAATGTGGAAAAATGGGTGAGTGCATAATGGTCACCTCAAAGTGCTGTACTCCTGCAACAAAAGGATGGTCCCTGAGTTTTCTGGCTGAGAGAGAGCATTTCTGAGATATTCTATCTGGGATACATGGCCATTCAATATTTTCTTATCTTTTATCACAAGTAACTGAATGCTACTAGTTAAAAAGGATAATTCTCCAACATTTGAGCAAGTAATTTGTTTACAAGTTTGAGTTACAAGTCTTGTTTCCTTTTTTTCTTTGGCTTCCTAGAGACTTTATAGGAGAGTCAAGATGTTTCAGTTACCCAATTTCAATTCCAATCAAAATTTGAAGTCAATAACAGTAAAAAGTTAAAACCTATAGCATGATTTCATGCACACACACACAAACTAGGTTGAAACAGAGTTCTCTCCTTAAATGTTGTATAAATTTTAGAGTGATGTTATTTTAGTAGAAAAAGAAAATACATTTTAATTTTAAATATATTGGAATCATAAGGATCTCTTCTTGAAGTACATGATTCTTAGTAGAAATGTTGCTTGGGGTTACTTAGGCTATGAATCGAATTTCTTCCCAGAAGCATTTACTGGAATTCTTATGATTAAGATTAATAAAACAATTAACTAAATAAACAGAATTATAAGGTTTCTCTTCTATGACTATTATGAAGATGTGAATTCTTATCAAATCCCTTATAATACTCATGGCATTTATGAGTTTCCTCTCCTGAGTGGACTCGTTGATGAATTCGAAGAGCTGAACTATGACTGAAACCCTTACCACACTTCACACACCTATAAGGCTTCTCTCCTGTATGGACCCTCTGATGAATGTGAAGATTAGAGCTGTGACTAAATCCTTTTCCACAGTCATCACATTTATAGGGTTTTTCTCCTGTATGAACTCTCTGGTGAATGAGAAGATGTGAACGCTGACTGAATCCCTTACCACACTGTTCACATTTGTAGGGTTTCTCTCCAGTATGTACTCTTTCATGAGTGTGAAGCTTTGAACTCTTGCTGAAGCCTTTCCCACATTCATGGCAAGTATAGGGTTTCTCTCCTGTATGGACCCTCTGATGAATGCGAAGATCTGAACTGTGACTGAAGTCCTTTCCACAGTCATCACATTTATAAGGCTTCTCTCCTGTATGCACTCGCTGATGAATTTGAAGATTTGAGCGCTGGGTAAAGCCCTTACCACAGTCATTACATTTGTAAGACTTCTCTCCTGTATGAACTAAATGATGAATTCGAAGATTTGAACTCTGACTGAAGCCCTTACCACACAAATCACACTTATATGGTTTCTCTCCTGTGTGGACTCTCTGGTGAACATGAAGTACTGAACTCCGACTAAAACTCTTACCACACTGATCACACTTGAAAGGTTTCTCGCCTATGTGAAGTCTCTGGTGAATATGAAGTAAAGAATTTCTGCTGGGTTTTTTATCACGCTCAAATTTATAGAGTTTCTCTTTTGTATGGACTCCTTGATGAGTGTGAAGATTTGAAATCTGACTAAAGCTCTTACCACACATGTTACATATAAAAGGTATTTCTGCTGTGTGAGCTCTCTGATAAAAGTGAGCCCCTAAGTTCTGACTAAAATTACCACCAATTTCACATTCATATAACTTCTTATCTATGTGGATTCTTGGTTGTCTATATAGGTCTAATCTCTGAGAGAAGAATGTTGTGCTGGAGCATTGATAAAACTTTTCTCCAAGTTCATTTGTTTTGTGGAGAAGACACTGTGAATTCCAATAGTAAGTTTCTTTATATTTACTACATCCACAGTTTTTCTCTTCCATAGAGTGTTTCAGTAGATCATTTTGATGTATCTCTCCAGTGTACTCTGGAAGAGCTTCCTCTTTGGGGACATAGGAATACTGAACTATGGGCTTCTTTTCTTTTTCTATGGAGAGATTTTTCCTGGCTATATTAAAATGGTATCTGCTTCCTTGAAAACTATGTAAATCATCTACATAGATTTCTCTACCACAGTCTTCTGTATGTTTTTTTTCTAAAGATGGCTGAGGTGAAAGCTTTGTATATTTTAAGTTCCTGGGATTTTTGCCTTCAAAACTCATTTCATAGTTTCCATACTCTGGCACTTGCGTTGAGAGTAATAACCATTCTTCACAATGGGAAAGTTCTTGCTGCTTTAGGTTTTTGAAATCTCCTAGACTGACTTCCATATAGTTTTGATTCTTATATGTCTGACTGTCAGCATTCCTCCAAGCTTGCCAGTAGGAAAGAGTTTCATGTTCCAGATATCCAAATCCTTTTTGGGTTAGGTAGCTCTCTTTCCAGTTTTCTAGAAGAATAAGCAGATAAACCAGTGGTGAGATGCAGTTAATTAAAAATGTCCAAGGAGCTCAATCATACTATAGGAATATATGTTTGGGAATGGGAAAGAAGGGTTATGACTTTGGCTATTCCATATTTAGATGAAATTCATTTGCTTTTTCATTCATGTATGTATTCTTTCACACACTTATTCATTCATTTCACAAACATATCTACTTACCAGGCACTGTTAGAAATAGTTTTGTGGAAATAGTTTTAAAGATGGACTTAATTGGATTTTTCTATTTGAAGCATTTTTTTTACTTATTTATTCGTACAGAATTGGGGTACAGGCCAGAGATGCGGAGGGTGAGAGTATTCACCAGAGACAGAGTGGGGAGCAGAACAGGCAGATGGACGAAGTACACTGCTGAGGGGAGCAGTAGGAGGGTCAGGAGAGGTCTGCCTCGCCATGTGGATCTCCTCCAGGGCAGGCGGGAATCGAACTCATGCGGAAGTGGCTTAAGCTTCTTTGTGCTGTGTTTTAACCCACTGCACCACCAGGGAGGGCCCTATTTGAAGCATTATTATAAAAATAATGTTTTGGTTTTTTTTTTTGGTCTATACTAATTTGGTTGACTCTGGGAAAAAAATGGCTGAAATGACTTTTTACTTGATCAACATTTTTGGGTGTTCCCCTTCCACACTAATTCTGTGTTTGCTTATACAATTTGATTTGGTCACTGGGAGAGCAGCAAAATTGGTACCGTTAGAAACTAGAAAGGAAAGTGTGTGTTCTTGCCTTCTCTTTTTGTGGTTTTGAAAATTCTGTGACCACCATTATGGAAAGGAGCCTGGCTGGCCTGACATGCCTGAAGAGGGACATATGGTTAACACAGCTCCACTATCCCTACTGATACTGATCAATTGCCAGAGGTGTGAGAGTCAAGTAGTCAATTTCTTCTTAGACTGTCCTGCCCTAATCAAGCTGCTCTGTGACAATGAGCCCATCTAAATAATTAGAATTTTGAAAAATAATAAAGTTTGTCTTAAGTCGCTAAGTTTTGGGTAATTACACAGTAAAGCTAATTTATACAAGTAATGTTTAGAGTGATCAAATTTAGGACCACACCAAATCGATTATGTGAGGCTATCTGTGTTTGAAGTGTAATCCTGATAACAAGAGTAACCACAAACACCTATGACATGCCTACTGTCTTACAAGATATTTTTGTTTTTCTTCTATTTTCTATATGACTTAACACATACTTTTGAGAATGTTTTTTCCACCTCACCATAACACCTAGATAAAAGAACCAAAATATTTAACAAAATTGGTTCCAGAAGAAACTAAATCTGTTCCCCAGCAGCTGGCATAGCTTTACCTACTGACATGACATTTGTGTAGTTCTCCCACATCACTTCTCTGTAGAGCTTCCTTTGAGAAGAATCCAGGAATTTCCACTCTTCCCAAGTAAAAATGACAGTCACATCTTCAAATGTTACAGCCATCTGGTCAAAAATCAGACTTTCCAGGAGAAGAAATCTAAGTGAGAGGATAGACAAAGGAAAAAAACAAAACAAAAACAAAACACCGCAAGATAGTTAGCAGGTAACATAAATGGCAAGCCAAACAGAAAAAGAAAGCACTTTAGTGATAAACAAAAGAGACACAATGGCTAGTTGTCAAATGGGTACATAAACTGAACACCATCACAAGAAACATTTATATAGCATTTGTCTGCTAACCACTGGTCTCTATAAGTATTTCAGATATATTTCAAGTGATTCTCATAACAATCCTTTTTTGTAGATACTGTTATTACCCCTTTAATTATTGGTAAAATTGTTTAGAAAGGGCCTTTATATCAAGACTGCAGATGTTGATCTGAAGATCATGGATCTAGAAGCAAACGTAGTTAGAACCTAGTTCTCCATACTTCATATGAGACCCATTTGCCAGCTCTAACGTTGCTTAATGTTCCTTATTTATTGCTTGATGAGCTGACACTTTAGACATTTCTGTTTAATGAAATGGGGAATTAGACCTCATCATTCTCATACAGTACTATCACTAATTTTTAGTCAAACGAATAGGCAATGCTTACATAACTTTGAATAAGATTGTATCATTTGTTTAGGAGAATGATCAGGTTTATTTATTTTATAACAGTTTATTTTTACATCATTTTGTACATTTTTTCCCCCATCTCAATTGTAATCCCCGCGGGTTTCCCATCACCATGTCACCCGTGTGCTATCACCATAATCCCGTGCATTTTCCTTCCCCCGTCCCCCGTTTTTGATCCCATTCCCCACTCCACCCCCGCAAAATGTCTCTGGTATATGGTTGTTCATTTTGTTATTTTCTCGCCTGGTC